TTTCTGATGTTGGTATTGTTAACGAATATTCAGAATCCAACCAATTGGTGTTCTTTCTTAAAAAGGTATTTTTATTGCGTCCTGCTTCACTCCAGCGTTTATTAAACGAAGGGATGACATCCCTTTGAATATGGTCAACAATAAAACATATATTGACATCCGAAATTTGTTTTCCCTCCAAATATGTTGAAAGTGCCGCAGTCGTTTTTCCGCCTTCTATATAAGACACTATTAACTCGCGTTTAGTACAGTTAAAAGTAGACATGTTGAATAATGAAATAACCGTACCTACTAGAGTACGTAGACGTAAAGACCACTGAAACGGTAATGGAGACATATTTTTTCACTGCCCTTTTTATATTGTTTCAGAATGTGGGAATTATTTCAGATATCTATTTTCTCACGAAAAATGACATCGAAATGATAAAACCTACATAACAATATCAAATAATTAATTCATAAAATGTACCACAAACTATTGATAATAAAAGTAAACTACGAAACCGCATTTGATAGCGATTTCCGTTCCCAGACTAGTATTCGATTTTTTCACATATCTCCGAAAACCGCAAAAAGGCGCAGCAATTTTTTTTATATATTTTAGATGAGTAACTAACCTATAATTTAACATTAAATTCAAAGCATCGGTAAACAACTCTAAATGTAAAAAGATTCGAGTTGAGGAAAAAAAATATTTCTCCATTTTTTCTTTAAATTGGTTTTTAAATTTATATTCGTATTAAAAACAATCAATTGTATTTATTTCTAACCTCTGATAAATGTGCTTTTCAAAAATATATAATACCTTATACCTTTCATTTCAAGTTTTGAAACTATTTCACGTTGAAAAACGTAAATGAAGAACTTAATATTTCCCAGCTGCCTAAACGTTTAACTTTGCTACATGAAAAAAAATACTTTTACGAAATAAAATATGAATTACGCTGCAGAATATTAAACTTCGACTTTTGAACTAATAAATTATATTCATGTATTACCCAATTTCAATCAGTAATAACAATCAATTTTGATATGCGTTTGTTCTACCATATTCCACCGTGCGTCTGTCTGTCTGTCATCAGGCTGTATCACCTAAACCTTGATACCTAGACAGTTGAAATTTTCACAGATGATCTATTTCTGTTGCCACTATAACAACAAACTATATATACTACAAACAGAATAAAATAAATATTTAAATGGAGCTCCCATAAAACACACGTATTTAAAAATAATAAACTAAATATTAGTTATGTATTCACTTTAGAAATATAGAATTAAATTAAAATAAAAAAGTAATAATAAGGTGGGACGTGTCTTTTTTGCCGATTTTTCTCTATAATTTAATATAGTGTCTCTGTATGTATAGATGGTACTTCGTGCATGAGTTCGACTCGAACTTGGCCGGTTTTTCATCTGATTTGACAATAAGTATAAGTGGAAAGATATCAGATGACGCAGAAAAGCGAGCCAAAGATTTTTTCATCGAAACTTTTATATAACCTGTAATAACTTTGAAAAGAATATCTTAAAACAACTTTTAGGTCACTCAGAAGTAAAAATTAATTTTATTATTTTAATGAGAAAAAAAGTCTGAATAAAAAACCTAGTAGGTAATAGGCATTTATTGGTATACTTGTTATTTTAACATACGATCAATTTTAGTTACCACTACAGTTTGAGGGGTGGAACATACGTAAACAAACACAGGGTTGCACCGAGGGGATGGCGCTCCGCAGACAATCGGAACCAACAATTACGCCGGTGATGGAACACCTTCACTCGACGCAAACGTGCTAACCTGTACCCGTACGCAGGCTTCCTACACATGTACTTATCACAATCGGTGTCCCTTGTGTTTTCTGGTCTAGTAAACGTAATAACCGCGATTCAATTCGAATTTGTGTGAGTGAAAACTTAAAAATTACGTCTCTGTTGGGTAGTAGCTGAAATTAAAACAAATGATATTTTTTGAAAAACAAAACATGTTTGCTATAAGTACAGTGAAGTTTGAATATAGATTTTTCATTTATAGTTTATTAAAATTTTATGGATAAGATAGCAAAAAGTATACGGATTTTATAAATTGCATGTCCAGTAACAAAGCATAGACTAAAAAATTAAGAAACCAAAGCAAGAATGAAGATATGACTTCTAATTTTTTATTAATTTTTTACCGGACGTGATTGAATCAGATTAATTAGTTCTAAATAAACTTGTAAACAATGTACGAAGGAAAATTATTGTGATCAACTTTTGTTCTTTAAATTACCTTTTCTTATTTATAAAATTCAAAGGAATGTCTGTAGAGATGTAGAGTTTGATGAGTTTAAGGGATTAAGTCATTTTACATTTAGTTATGCATGTAGTTGGTTTGTTTCAAACACTTTTTAGTATAATTAAAAAAAATACCCAGCAAAAAGTATAAAGTAGTTTTTATCCTAGAAGTTATCCTTTGATGGGATGAAAAGGGGGTTGGAAGTTTGTATGGGAAACCAAAATATCCACGCAGACGAAGCCGTGGCGGGCGTCACTAATAATATATATATAATTGAATGTTTGACTAAAATATTTGAAAAAAGAGAAGAAGAAGTCAAACATATAATTTCGTTTTTTTATTCTTTTGAATCAATCAAATCAATGTGTAGAAATTAAAAAAAATAAAATTAGTATGACTTCGATCTAATGTTTTTATTTTCCATGGATACTATACCGCTTTTAATTATTTTCATTATAATCATGATGTAACTCTGTATCAAATTACCTTTGGAAAAGTTTTCAGAATAACGGGAAATAATTTATTTTACGTTATGTTTTGATCCTAGTGAGAAATTGTTTACATAAAAATATCGTCATTGCTACCGAGCTGCAAGACGGAGCAATTTGGTTGGAACAAGTATTAGAGTGACACGGGTTACCGTGGGCTAATAATGTGCGTAATGGCCGCCAGTTATTAGGTGCGCGGGCGCAATTGCCGCGCTGATGAAAGTCTGCTGGGATTGCCTTGTAAACGCCCCGAAGCTCACGCAGCAGACATAAAGATTAACAGACACGGCCACACGATAATTTGGTATTTTTATATGTATTTTATTTATTTATTTATTTGTGTTCAGGCATCGTAGGCCTTTATACTATCCCTACGCAAAAACTACTGAACCGATTAGAAATTTTAAAAATAAAATTTGTCATGCATAGTAATGTAAAAAAGGATACTTTTTATCTCAGAAAAATGTAAGGTAGTTATGAGGGATTCCCAGAAAACTAACTATGGTAAAAAGGCAATACAATATTTTGATGTATTACTCTCTACATCGTCTATATTTGCTAAAAATATAGTTTGAAGGGCTTAGAATAAGTTGTAGCCCTACTCCTAAAAATATCCTAAGAAGATATATATTATCATTTTTAAATTTTAAGATTTTTGTATAACGCTTATCCTGTATTTTTGAAATCGTATCAAACAAAATCGGCTGCATAAAATGCAATAAACTGAAAATATGTTAATAAAGTTATTACAAAGGTATCATTTAAAATTTTATTTCATATAAAAGAGCTTTTTGAAAAGTTTTTTATATATATTTCACCTAATACTTGTTCCAATTCCTATCCTAGTTCTTTTGAAGTCATGTCTGATCGATTTAAAGGCGTGCCTGTTGCTCTCGTCGGCAAATAAGGCGGCAGTCAGTTAGAGACTCGTGATTGTGAGCTGTAATGATAATAAGCGCGGATATTAATAAATTTAGCAGCAGTGCCCGTTTACAGTTATTTAGGGCATAATTATGTACGAGAAGGAAATTAGCTTCTGCCTACCTGCCTGACTGCAGTCAGGCGCGCTTAGCTCGATCTATAACATTTTTTAGTTTCACAATCCAGTTCACACTTTGTGTTCAGTTTCACAATTTGATGTTGTTTTGAGTTTTAAGCAGTAGGTATTTTTTGTAGGCATAGGTGGCAAAGGTGGTGGTGGTGGTGGCATTGCTATTCGGTTGAAATTGAAAAGATACTTCAAATGTTACCTTTTTATGCTTAATAGGCAAGGCGTTTGACAACCAAACAATCTCGCTTGATGGAAAGCGATGATGAGGCCTAGGATGGTACACGGCTGCCTAGAAGATATCTGTTCACTCTGGCCTTGAAGATGTCCAGATTATTTGGTAGTGGGAGGAACTTCGACAACATAAGGGTGAACCCCTCGCCGCGCCTGGTCGTGGAAAGGGGAACGGGCGATCAAATTCTGTAATACTTCCGCAAACTCTCCGAAATGTAGCCGATAAAACACCGAGAGACAAGCTACACGTTTCCGGTGGTCAAGGCTATAGTTAAAAACGAAGACACCTCGGTATTTAAATTTCAAATCGCTAATAAGCTAGGAATGATTTAAATAAATCCAAAAAATCCAATATCGTTTATTGAGTTTAGGCTGTTACAAGCACTTGTGAATGTCAAGAAGCTACGCCATCGGTTCGCGAATCTATGGCGGGAGACCTTGTAGTGAGAAGAACCGGCAAGAAGCTCAGCAAGTGCTGTTTATTTCTATTAGGTATTATATATTTTTAAAATGTGATTGATATATTAAATTCCACTTAATAAAAAGAATTATTAAAATAATAACAAAAACTAAATCGCATCAATTAATGCGTCTTTAAAAGACTTAAAACTTTCAAAGCCGCTTTTAAGGTCGCGTTGTTTCAATGAAAGTTAAATTTGACTATAGTTAAATTTTATAGAAAAAATAACCACAGGTCAAAATTTTACACATTAACTATAGTAAAATTTTACTATTGATGAAACAACACAACTAATTTGTTGAAATTGTATCGCTTACTGCCCGCCTGTAGGTTGGCGTTCATCTTGTACTCCCTGTTTTTGTGTGACAAGGAGCGCATACTTTTGCCCGGCGAGCTATTGTTCTCCATTTCTCTCTGCGAAGTACGTTCTCACATAGAACGTTAACACTTTTAAGTGATTATTGCTTGTTGAAATGTCTTTATATCACTTACCGCCTGCCTGTAGATTGGCGTTCGTCTTGTACTCCCTGTCTTCGTGTGACAAGGAGCGCATACTTCTGACCGGGGAGGTCTTATACTCCATGTCCCTCAGCGCCAACTGCGAGTCTATCAGCGTGCGCTGGAAACTGAACGTCCTTATTGGATGAGGGGACGCATTCGTACCTGCGAAATAAATAAATAAATCAAGGCTAGTACTGTTAGGCCCATTTTCACCAAATTTTTATATTTAAATTAAAAAAAAAAAGTGTGTGTCAGCTCCGACGCACGACTGGAGTTTACTCCTTAAGTTCGATAGTCTAACCAGACGCAAAAAGAGTTTATTTAACTTAAAAGAAATTGATACTGTATGAAAGGGTAAATTAACAAATGAATGAAAATAATATACATATATAAATATATATTTATTCATTTCATATACATTTATTATAACTAATCGACGAAATATTTTACATTAAACTTTTTACAATAGTCAATTTCAGATGTGCATCAATATATCATTAGGAATGTTGATAAATTATGTAATTATTATTATCAGACTATTATCATTTTTTTAAATATTAATTAAATCAACATTGTCTGTATTATTAATTACAGTGACAAGTGGTTTATGGTAACTAAAATAAGACACATGGACGTTCGTAGATACGTGGTTCATGAATCTTGAAAATACCGCATCAATGGTTGTACCATACCTCGTTGTCCCCATTGCTCTATCAGAAACAATATCTAAATTCAGTTCTGATTTTAAAAAAATTATTAATGTCAATCCGTCATCTTTGTATGTCAAAGTTGCGCGACATAGGATGCGCACCAAAAACGTAACGAGGTCATTCATCGATAGATTTTACTCCTCACATTTTTCTCATACCGGGTCCCTTATATATGCAAATCGATTCTTAAGGAGTAAACTCCAAAAACATGTTGATGCATCATTCTATCTCTTTTTGACTTTAAACAATTGACAAAGATGGAATGGAATGATCTGTAAAAAACTTTGGTCAAAGTGAGCTTTCTTTATTCAGATTCAGAGATAGAATGAGGCCTAAACATGGTTAGCTTTTAAATATGAATAAAGAACTTTGATGCAAGTGAGCCTTACAAGCAAATTAAAAAGAGTTTATTCAGGTTTAGGCTGTTACAAGTACTCATGACATAGAAGCTATGTCATCGGTTCGCAATTCTACGATGGGAAACATTGTATTGTGTATTGTCAATGTATAGCACACTTCGTGCAGTTCCGTATTCTTCTCTACGGCATTAAAAATTATGTAGATGAATTAAGGATCACGATATATCGAAAGTCAACTTCAAAAGAACAGAAACTGTATTAGACAACACCGCTTTTGATCGAGAACCTTGGCCGTGTGTTTTTTTAAGTGCTTTAAATCATTGTTACCGCTTACATTTGCAGTCGTTGCACCTTTCAATTACATATTTAAGGTTACTTCTATTGAAGAAGGTTGTAGTACCCTCTCTAAGTCTAAGGCTGTAAAAATTGTTGGTCTTAATAGAACATAGACGCTACATACAGACCCTTGACCAGACTTCCTGTTAAATCACCAAACGGGGGTCAAAAGGGCCCCATTATACTAACATGCCTAGGGCCTCCAATAGGTCACAGACGACACTGGCTATATAGGTAAGTTAAGATATTTAGTAGGTGTGGTGTACAAACGAAGTAACAAGTCAAAGTTTGATTTAAAGATTTTCGTACCTAGTGGTCATGCCAGAGATCTCGTGTGCAATTCTTAAAGTACTTAGATGCAGCACCATATAAGTTGATTCGCCTACCCTAATGTTAATTAAAGCGAATTAAGAAACATCCACTTCAAAACAAACATACGCATCAACTCACGCGAAAGGCTATTATTTTGAGGACTTATTGCTCACGAGTAGGAAAATCCCGCTTATACGAACAGCGGACAAAGAGTAGCAAGGGACAAACGGGTACTTAGCGCATAAGCCCCGAACTCGACGCTACAAGAAAGGAAGATTCACGTGGCGGGACTTAAAAGTTTGACTAAATAGACTTAATTTGTAGGTGCCCGGTTGTAAGCCGCTTCGCAGTGACCCCATCTAATTAAGCTGCTCAGTCGATAGATAGATTATTAACGATATCGACTATCGATGAAAGTTATAAATCGGGTCGATGAAATAATAGTTTATTATTTCTAATTACAAAATGTTTGTAACCAGAATGGTATTTCTAAAAATAAATTCATTTTATTATCGTAAGTTACACCCTTAAGACTGATTAATTTTGAAAATTCCATCTAAATCATAACAGGAGTAAAATATCTAAGATGAGAATATAATTTAAAAATATATTGATTGTAGTACTATCATCATAAGTTGCCTATTTTAAAAGTCAATCAGTGGAGCGTCTGGGGTCTTAGACCGGAGTTTTGAAACAGTGAAAATAATTTTAAGGTTGAAATGGAAATTTGGTTTTTTATACAATAAATATCAATGTTTACCAATTCTTTTTCTGTGCTTTTGATTTTTTCATTATATAAGCAGGAAATAATATTTGAGTATATATAAACCATAATTTTAAATAATGTTTTTGAAGTGAATATCTTTTAGGACGGGTTGTAAATGGGAAAATCCGTTTCATATATTAAAAGCGCCTAGTAAAATTATTAGAAGGCACATAAGAGCCGCAGCGTACGGTAATGTAAATTATACACCAAGGTGGAACAAATCATATGACATTACTGCAAGGCACGCTTATTAAAAAAAATCAAGATCACAATTTTTTAATTGGTAAACTTTTTAATATATTTTAGTAGCTATACATTCCATTTACAATTTTTAAATTTCATTCACTGTAGCTAAAGTTCGAGGTTTTCATGTTTTTAACGTCCTGGGAGCTACACTAAATATTCATATTTCAATTAGAAGCAGTCAGTATTGTGGAAAATCAACATCCTTTCTATCAAAGAAAAATTAAATATTTCAATTAAGTCTCACAGAATGTCGCATGTCCTTTCACACCCCTACCAAACTAAATTTAAAAATATTTTATTTCTGGCAGCGAACTCATAGTTGACGGCCTGCATTTGTTTGTGTCGAATTAGTATAATGGCAGAGCCGATGTATTTTGTATTGTGTAAACTCATAAACTAATTATGCGTATATTTTTTTCTTTAAATTTTACCGATCCTTCGTAATTGTGGCGGCGTTTACAAATAGAGGTCTGCGTGGCGCAGGCTCACTTTTTTTGGGACATCCAAAAAAAAGACCACCTATTTCTACCTAATAAGGTGATTGACACGTTGTTATTTGCCCAAAAATTGGGCAGGATGTAGCGCCGATATTTTTAATTTCATTTTGGAACAAATTAAAATAAAGCATGCTTTTATTTTAGAACCTTTTTTGTCATTCATTTCGTACAACAACCCTTAAATTAAACATGCATGTACTCTTCATAATCCCATTGAAGCAGGTATAATGGAAAAAATGAGAGCATTTATACTTTTGGAAGGCTTACATTAAGTATATTGTTTATTTTGAACTTATGTGACGTCGCTGTGTCTTTCGCAGCACAGCAGTTGCTTGGCGTGCGTGAGTGCGACTTATTACAGATATAATTTCACTATTGTTGGCCGCCGGCGCAGCCCCATATGGTGTAACGTGTTTTTTTCACCAGCCAATTTCGATAGTTCCAGGTCTTTTCAATGGGTCGCTAGGAATTCCATATTGTAACGAATACTTGGATATTGGTTTTTACAGATTGCAAAGATATTTAATTTCTTCTTGGAACAAAACACAAGTGAATGCAGGCTAATGATGATTAAAAGGAATGTTTTTGTTATGGATTTGTGTAATAGGCAATATTTTAGTTTTATTATTTTCGAAATTCCGTTATGCATATACATTATTTTTTATGGGGTATATTTTATTACTTTTACCCAATTTACTGCTTGATTGTCATGTTCCAGGATAGTTTTTATTGAGATAAGTTATTTATCTGATTTACGAATGATTTAAGACGTAATTTACGGTGACCTAAAATCAATTTAGTAACTTTGAATTGATATTTATAGTCATAGTCATAATATTTATTGCTTTATGTTGGTTACATTAAGTTCTTAAATCTAATAACAGCTCGCAAACATGAGCCCTGCAAGGGCATTGCAAATTATAATAAAAGTATGCAAATATTAATTTAAAATTTAATAAAATTACAATAGGATAACAATTTAAGATAGATAGAAAAATTTAATTAGTTAATATTAAATATAAGTTTAAAATTAATTCATATAATACGCAATTACATATTTATATAGGTTGTAAGCCAGATAAGTTCTCAATTTAATGAAGGGCAAGAAGTTGAAAAGTCAAATTGAAAAAGGAAGAGGTCAGAGTTTTCATTTACTAATAGAGTTGGCATGGCACCGTCACCAAATATTAATTTGACTATATATCTACTTTAGACTTAAGTTGAGAAAATGGTATTACATATTTTTGAATTTTTAGTGTCGGTTGAAAGTCGGTTATTATTTATTTTAAAAAAGTTTTTTTAATACAATGGTTTGTCTCTTGCTGACCGAAAGTGTGGAGTGCGCACAAGTTTCGCGTGACTACCAGTCGGAAGGACGGCGGAAGACGATATTAAATAATATTAATTAGCCATATTTATATTTGTGAAAAGAAATTGTTTCTGTCGATGCTCAATACTTACTGCGATTATGTATTTTTTATTTAGAAATTTCCTCAAAAATAATGGGCTTGAAAAGAGAGTAACTTACACGTTAAAATATTTTTTTAAAAGAAGTATCCTTAGTAGTTGGCTTAGCACTAAACTTAATGCGTAATCAGTCTCTAGATTTAAAATGAGGTAGAATGATTAAAATATTCGATTGAGAATGAATATCTTGTGTATCCTTTAATTAAAGTACCTACAAACGTATATTCGACCTCAATGATTATTTAACTGACATGGAAATTACAATCGATAAGGTTAAAATCAAAACCGCATATGAATTATTATCATTGCACTATAGTTGTTTGTGTGACAATTGCTATCAGCACAATAAGGACCGTGGGAAGACACACTTATCAAAAACTATACGACATACACCATACTTATCGCGCGTGAAATATTCCGCGATAAAAATAGAATAAAACAACAATTACATATTTTTGCTACCCATTTGTGCGGTACACGTGTTATAGGGCGATAGCGGCATCTCAAAATTTATTGTATTTGAAAACAACTTTTTCATTAGTCGCTCCTCTGATATCTGTACTTACATCTTTGTTGAAATGAACAAGGGTTTTCAGATTTCATCTAAGACTGCATGCATGACTATATAGCTTTAGACCATATAGTAATTGAAAAAACTTTAAACAAATTTTACCACAATTCTCCTACAAGATTACCTTTAAAATAACGGACAGTTATTTTTATAGCCCCTTGTAGCCCCTTGAAATTACATAATGATGAAAGGAAAGTATTATTCAGCACCATTTTCAATAACTCTTTAATAAAGTTTTGTTCATAAATAACAATCACCGCATTCAGTTTAATTTCAGTGCTAACTAAAAAAATACTCACTCGTTTTAGATCGTGGTTCCCGCGGGCCGTCAACGGTCACCTTGATTGCCTTTTGGTATGTCGCTACTTGAGGGGGACTCGTTGATATAGTAATGGTTAACGAAAAACTCTTGCCTGCAATAAAAAGAAAAACACTTTTAAAAAATCATATATCATTTATATCATATCACCAATATCCCAACGGAATCTCCACCGACAAAAGCATACAATGAGAAAAGGCTTAAACCCCGTACGCAGACACGGTGTGTATGATATGATCATCATCATCACTGCCTGGTGTCCCCACTGTTGGGGCACAGGTCTTCCTATGGATGGAATAGGGAGGGGCGGTGACCCACCACGCGAGTCCAGTGCGGATTGGTGGGTACTAACGACTGCAGCCGGGGCCAACGGCTTAATGTGCCTTCTTAAGCACGGAGGAACTCGATATAATAAGCTTTTGGTCACCCATCCAATGACCGACCATTGCGAAAGTTGCTTAACTTCCACGATCGCAAGCCGACCGCGCTAACCACCTGCACTATCCAAAGCCAATGTCCTACTTTTCCTACAGTTGACTTTGGCTGAGGGTCTAAAAATCGTCCAGCTTACAATGGTCTCCTAAGTTGCTCTGCCCGACCGAAGAAAAGTTTGCAGGTGCAAAGAATACTTCTTCAGTAGTTCACATGCTATGATTAAAAGAAGTTTGTTGACTATGAACGCCTGGGTGATATCACCTGAGGTTAAAAGTAGGCGCATCTGTAATTTTCTATCTCTCCCAGTCCAGCATGATTCGTTCGACAAAATACAGATAACGTTGCTTTGTTAATCAACGGTACAATAGAAATTAACAGACTGTACATACCCTTTAAACTAGTGCACCGGCTAACTACATCGGGGGAATGGTTGAAAATAGCGAGCTTTTTGGGCGTCCGATTTGCGGTCACCAGTAATGAATGCACCGATAAATAGCGAATAAAATTACAGTTAAAATGAGTGGATTAACATGTCTAATGCAGATAATTCGCGTGTAGCCTACTCGATTTGGGATAAATGACTGATTCCAACGTGCGGACGGTGGATTTGAACGTATTTGGATATTCCTTTTGCGTGTTTAGCTCGCTCGATTTATATCGATATAAGAATTAGTGATTTTGATTACACCTAAGTTAAAATTCAAATAAACATAGTCTTTTATTGTCATTAACAGAATTGTTACTATGTCCCTTGTTTTTTATGACTCTCCGATGTGTCACAGATTTTTTGTATGACAAGATGTGTCACAGATTCTACGGTCTCCAAAAGACTCCCCCTTGGAGAAACCTGGTGAAAATAACGTGCCGAATGATATAACACATAAAAGCAGCCAGAAACAATAATACCCAAAAATCAGCCATCGCGTAAAATTTAATTTATTCGGGTCCTAATCACTGGATTCAGTTCCATAATCCTCAAATTATCTTGAGAGAAAGCTACTACATACCGAGATTGGTTAGGGCAGCGATTGAAATAATCAAGCACAAGAATTTAAATCGTGAGGATGGGTTTGAATTGTCATGTGTCTGGAATCCAGTGGTTCATATATGCAAAAACCGCAAAAATAAAAAAAGTGTTGTTCTGCGTACTGATACTGTGAGTGTTGTGTGTCGGGAACAGGTGCGCGTGCATAATGAGAATGTGACTAGAGGCAGGGGTATCGAGCGCAATTAAAAGACGACGTCAGAGGGTAGACCGATATGTCTGACGACCTCCGTGGCCGAGTGGTTTGTACGCCGGGTTTCATGGCTGTCGCCGACTCGAGAGGTCCCGGGTTCGAATCCCGGTGGGGGCAGATGTTTGTGTGATGAATACGAGCATTTGTACTCCAGTCATGGATTTTTAATATGTATTTATATAAATATACTTATATATGTACAGTATATGTATGTATTCTATCCGTTACCCTAGCATCCCATAACACAAGCCTTATAGTGCTTACTTTGGGGCTAGGCTAATTGGTGTGAGTGTCGGAAAAAAAAAAGAATAAAAAAATAACATTTAGGTACCCGCAATGAGTTCAGTTACTCCGTGATCATGGCACTTGCAACAGTGCCGAAATATCGGAGACTCATAAAGACAAGGCACATGGTAACATCCCGTTAATAACTATAATGTTAGTGACCACGAAAGCTTAAATCAATAAAAAATATTATTTATTAATAAAGAAAGAAAGAAAAAAGCTTTTATTGGCCTTACACATACATAGGTAAAATAAAACAATAAATATAGTAATTTAAATAATAAATTAACAGAGAACAAGAACAAGGAGAGAGAAGAAAGGCCAATCAGGGCAAACACAGTGTAACTAGTCAGAGCTTATTTCTCGTTTATTATTAAGGGGGATAAGAGTTTAAATTCTTTATATGTGGAACTAGCGGCCCGCCCTCGCTTCGGTGTAGAGCTGAAGTGTAGACTACAGTTTTTGTTTTTTAGACTTTTATTATACACAATCATCTCATCATCTATGATTCTTCTTATTCCTGCATGCCAAGTCTCAGCCCGATCGGTTTAAAATTGACAAAGTTTCATACAAACTTTCATTCCCTATTTTGTCCCCTTGGGGGTAGAATTGATCAAAATCCTTATCCTTCTTAGTGGATGCCTACGTTATAACATCTACCTGCCTGCCAAATTTCAGCCCGATCCATCCAGTGGTTTGGGCTGTGCTTTGATAGATCACTATGTCAGTCAGTCAGTCACCTTTGAGTTTTATTATATAGATTGCTAATGTACTTATCACAAATTCTTTGCTCGTAGTGTAAAAATGGTAGCAATCAAATAAGTAGTATTTGTATTAATACTATTTTGTCATTAGAGTTAACTCTACATTATAAATATAATGTACACGTACAGTTACGTAGTACCCTTATAAAATAGTATATGTTATGTTATGATCACCACTTCTAATTATAACCAAGTGGAGTATCTACCAGTGACCTTATTATGTTTCCATGAGAAATATTTTTGTCCAATTGATAACATGACCTGTACCAACATGTTACGCGGTACAAGTTAAGTCTTGCATATTTCAGTGGCGATAACAAATCTACCAGCTTTATAACTTATTAAAAATTTTGACCAATATAATAATGGCGAAAAAGTTTAACTTATACAACGTTTTGGGATTTGAAAGATACTTTTATTTTAAATCATGTTTATCTTCTTCATAAAAATTCGTTCAAACCAATTAATGTGGGTTCTTGTCTGCAGCTGATACCTGGATAGACAGAGATATGAAATTGCCATTTTATTATGAAATATATTGCATAATGTGCAAGATCGTTGTCTACAAATAGGTAGCTACTGCATTATTTAAACATTTTCCTTTAAAATAATAAATGAGTGCTACTTAAAAATTTTATGAAAGCTCTAACAAAAGCTTTATTTATGAAGATCATTATTTTTACATTACCTAACCATAAGTTACACCATAATGTTAGTGTAAATAGAGATTTCCGAAAGTATGTGTATTTATAACTTCGCATCCATAGTTTGAATCCCATCTCCTATGGAGTGGCTAGGCTGTCTAAGATGTGACAACACAGATTGATTAAATAATAAATACTAAATCAAAATTAGGGTCTGCTGGGTTCTAGAATCAGGGCTCTAGATAATTAATTTAATTAAGTGTTTCATTTATTTAATTATCGTAATTACATACTAAGGCTCGTATTACAGAATGACAACCAAGTGCTGATCCCCACTTGAGCACAGTTAGAAAGGGATGTCGCTGCTATACAGAGCGCCATCCCTTTCTACTTGTACTCAAGTAAAGATTAACACTTAGTTGTTATTCTGTAATACGGGCCTTAGTGTCTTTTGCGTATGCGTATTATCCTGCGCGATAAATTCGTATAAATGACGAAATCCGCAGGAGAATTAAAGTTACCGATATCGCTCGAAGGCTTGCTTAGATAGCAGTGGGTAAGACGTAAGTATAACGAAGAGGAACGATGGCTCTTCAGACGCAAAGGTTCTCGAATGGCGACCGCGTACGAGAAGTTACCGAAGAACCCTGTATCAGGTTGACTGGTGATCTGGTTAAATCGCGGGAATCCGCTAAATAGGGGAATCTCGGGACTGATTTTCGGAGAATGTCTACACTTGATAAGTATGGCCGAATAAAAAGTGATATGTATCAAGTATTATGTGGTACCGCTTATTTCCCAGAAGGATAACTAGCAGAGAAAATGGATCACACAATCATACAAAGCACATTACCTGTCGCTTAATCGGTGTACGGTATACGATAAAAAAATACTTTTCTGGATTATCTTTTTAATGTCATTAAATATCATGGGCATACAAACAATATACATGCATCCATGACGACCTCCGTGGCCGAGTGGTTTGTACGCCGGGTTTCATGGCTGTCGCCGACTCGAGAGGTCCCGGGTTCGAATCCCGGTGGGGGCAGATGTTTGTGTGATGAATACGAGCATTTGTACTCCAGTCATGGATATTTAATATGTGTTTATATAAATATACTTATATATGTACAGTATATGTATTCTATCCGTTACCCTAGCATCCCATAACACAAGCCTTATAGTGCTTACTTTGGGGCTAGGCTAATTGGTATGATTGTCGGAAATATTTATTTATTTATTTATTATGCATTTACACACTCATACATACTAAATACCAAGCTATGCGTGCTTATGTTTGTGTCTTATAGTTATATTGATAAAATTTTGATTGTGTTTTAGAAAAAAATAACAAATGATGTTATTTTCTTACTTTCATATTAAATTTTATTTTTTCTTTGACATGGTTGTAATTGTGATTTCCACTGGATTTGTGCGTTGATACCTATAAGAAATCGTACCCATTATGACTGTTTTAAATAAATTTATTATTATTATTAATCTAATTCACATACACTTCTGATTTTGTAGTAAAGCGACTTTTATCTACCCAACTACGGCAAATGAGACGACGATCAATTCGTAATTATGATCCGGGGATATCCTACCTCCGACTTAAATTCAGTGAAATTTTGTAAGTTTGTGTGCTTGTTACTCAATCACGCAAAAACTACAGAACGGATTTGTTTGAAATTTGGTACGCATATAGTTAATGACCTGTATTGAGAC